GCATTCTATAGAGTATCTTTAGAGGGAGCACGGCCCTCGTGTAGGGTGGGACTTATTTTTTTAAATCGACAAAACCAAATGTTGCACGGTCTTAAATGGTTCTATGTGATAAAAAAACACGGTAGCCAAGAGGATTTTGAGAAAAAAAATTTTTAACCCGGCGCGCACAGAGCCTAAACATCGAGATTTTTCCGGTTTTTTTGGCATTTTCGCCGTATATTTTTGATATTTTTGCCAGCAACACGGATTTGACGCTAGATGTCCAAAAATTGGTACAAACCTAGCACATACCTTGTAGATTAAGGGAAAATTTTTGTTTTTCTCCTAGGTCACTAATAGTTCGCTTGGTAATGCCGAAACTCTCCGCTCGGCAGCTCTAAAAATCGAAATTTCGCCGTTTTTTAACGTATAATGAACTTTTTGAGCAACCTATAATGGTAGTAAAAATCCGAAAATTTGTGGAAAGCAAGTCCATACCATCAGTATGGAAGGGCAAATGTCAGAAAACTCCTACGTCTTTTATTTTCTGCCAAGCTATGCCCATAATGGTGGAAAACTTGTCAAAAATAGCTCAATTTTGACCGTTTTTTCGGGTTCGAAAATTTATTGGACACCCTGTAATGACAATGAAGGTCCGAAAATTTGTGGAAAGTAAGTTCATAACATCTGTATGAAATAAAAAATTTTACTTGGTTCATACGTCTTATATTCTTCGTCCTGCGATATCCGAAATGGCAGCGAAAACGTCAAAAATACCTCAAATTGGCCGTTTTTTGATAATTTTTTGGAACACCTTGTAGTGGCAGTGGAGGTCCGAGACTTTGTGCAAAGTAAGTTCATACCCTCCGCAAGGGATAAAAAAATCTACTTGGTTCCTATGTCTTACATTCCTCGTTGTGCGGTGCCCGCAATCACTTCGAAAACGTTAAAAATACCTCAATTCGGCCGTTTCTTCAATGGCAAAATTTATTAGACACCCTGTAATGACACTGGAAGTTCGAAAATTGGGGAAAAGCAAGTCCATACCACCAGTATAAAAGGGCAAATTTCAAAAGGTCCATAGATGTTTGATTCTTGGTCCCACGGTGTCTTCAGATACACAAAAATCGTGAAAAATACCTCCATTTTGACCGGTCTTTCGCTATTAAAATTTAATAGACACCCTGTAAAGGCAACAGAGGTCGAAAACTTTGCTGAAAGTAAGATCATTCCATCTTCATGCAATGAAAAATTCTACCTCGTTCCTATGTTATGCATTCCTCGTTGTGCGGTGCCCGCAATCGCATCGGAAACTTCAAATACACCTGAATTCGGTCAATTTTTTTTACCGAATTATTTTTGCAGACACCCTGTACTGACAGCGGAGGTCCGAAACTACGTAAGAAGCTAGTGTTGAAAGAAAGGAATGGATTAATTTAGGTATTTTAGAAAATTTAGCCTCACTTCAGGGCGTCTAGCGACAACAATTATAAATGTAAGGGTCTTTGAAAAATTGCCGTTCCTTTCAGATGTACATACAACGTATATTTACTTGGCACTTTCAAGAGTCGCTGATGTCATAACAGGGTGCCAAAAAAATTTCACACTCGAAAAATTGGCCGAATTAAGATATATTTGACGTTTCCGATGCGATTGCGGGCACCGCACAACGAGGAATGCATAACATAGGAACGAGGTAGAATTTTTCATTGCATGAAGATGGAATGATCTTACTTTCAGCAAAGTTTTCGACCTCTGTTGCCTTTACAGGGTGTCTATTAAATTTTAATAGCGAAAGACCGGTCAAAATGGAGGTATTTTTCACGATTTTTGTGTATCTGAAGACACCGTGGGACCAAGAATCAAACATCTATGGACCTTTTGAAATTTGCCCTTTTATATTGGTGGTATGGACTTGCTTTTCCCCAATTTTCGAACTTCCAGTGTCATTACAGGGTGTCTAATAAATTTTGCCATTGAAGAAACGGCCGAATTGAGGTATTTTTAACGTTTTCGAAGTGATTGCGGGCACCGCACAACGAGGAATGTAAGACATAGGAACCAAGTAGATTTTTTTATCCCTTGCGGAGGGTATGAACTTACTTTGCACAAAGTCTCGGACCTCCACTGCCACTACAAGGTGTTCCAAAAAATTATCAAAAAACGGCCAATTTGAGGTATTTTTGACGTTTTCGCTGCCATTTCGGATATCGCAGGACGAAGAATATAAGACGTATGAACCAAGTAAAATTTTTTATTTCATACAGATGTTATGAACTTACTTTCCACAAATTTTCGGACCTTCATTGTCATTACAGGGTGTCCAATAAATTTTCGAACCCGAAAAAACGGTCAAAATTGAGCTATTTTTGACAAGTTTTCCACCATTATGGGCATAGCTTGGCAGAAAATAAAAGACGTAGGAGTTTTCTGACATTTGCCCTTCCATACTGATGGTATGGACTTGCTTTCCACAAATTTTCGGATTTTTACTACCATTATAGGTTGCTCAAAAAGTTCATTATACGTTAAAAAACGGCGAAATTTCGATTTTTAGAGCTGCCGAGCGGAGAGTTTCGGCATTACCAAGCGAACTATTAGTGACCTAGGAGAAAAACAAAAATTTTCCCTTAATCTACAAGGTATGTGCTAGGTTTGTACCAATTTTTGGACATCTAGCGTCAAATCCGTGTTGCTGGCAAAAATATCAAAAATATACGGCGAAAATGCCAAAAAAACCGGAAAAATCTCGATGTTTAGGCTCTGTGCGCGCCGGGTTAAAAATTTTTTTTCTCAAAATCCTCTTGGCTACCGTGTTTTTTTATCACATAGAACCATTTAAGACCGTGCAACATTTGGTTTTGTCGATTTAAAAAAATAAGTCCCACCCTACCCTCGTGGGGGCATCAGTAGGGAGGGGGGGGCGGAGGAGAGGCCCGAAATTTGCGTGGCCTCTTCCCAGGAATGAGAGGGATTTTTTTCTATATAAATACGTGACACATTGATGGCTATAGTGCGATACCACGTGACTCCGTTGCTTCAAAATTTCTAACTTTACTATTTTTTTTTTTTTTTTTTTTTTTTTTTTTTTTTTTTTTTTAGAGGGGGAGAGAGAGAGGGGGAGAGAGAGAGAGAGAGACAGGCCGACTTTAGAGCTTGACATTTAAGCGGAATAATTAATCTGCCAACAGAGTAAACATTCGACTTTAATGTTCGGGTCGCACAAGAACTTGTAATTTAATTATAAAGAAACTCACTTGCACGTTTTTTATACCGTCGGTCGCGTTTCGGTCTCGTCGCGAGACCATCATCAGCGACTGATTCACCGCTGCTATTGAATGACTTCAGGTTGACATTTCCCCTTTCTCCAGCTCCCCTCCGATGATCGAGGGCTTTAAACCAGTGGCGTGGCGTGCTTTGCGATATATCGATTGATACGCCACTTAAACCTATGAAAAAAGATCGATTATCAGGGTATTCGCAGCGAACACCTTGGTAATTGATTCTTTACTATAACTTCAAATGGCGAGATATCGATACGACCATTCACGCCACGCCACTGCTTTAAACATTGGGTTTGAAACCCCCGAAAAATTAGTGTTGAAGCTTCTGTCTTTATATCGATGGATATAAATATTTTCCCAATCTGTTAAATGGTACTTCTTGTTTACTTGCTTTAAGATCGAGAGGGGGGGGGGATTTAATTTCGTGTTGTTTCTCCCGCGCCGAGACAGCAGATTTGTTCGTTTCTTGCTTCCTGATGCAGTTTATGTGTTCTCTACCCCTTGCGTGTATGTTCCTTTTCGTTTGCCCAATATAGACTTTGTCACACTCGTTACATTCAATTTTGTATATACCGGCTTTCTTTTGGTCATTTATAACGAGTTCAATTTGAATCGACAGTTCTCCAAAACTTGGGGGAGCCAATAGACGACCAAAATAAAGCCGGTATATACAAAATTGAATGTAACGAGTGTGACAAAGTCTATATTGGGCAAACAAAAAGGAACGTACACACAAGGGGTAGAGAACACATAAACCGCATCAGGAAGCAAGAAACGGACAAATCTGCTGTCTCAGCGCATTATTGGGAGAAGCAACACGAAATTAAATCCCCCCCCCTCTCTCTTAAAGCAAGTAAACAACAAGTACCATTTAACAGCTTATGGAAAAATATTTATACCCATCGATATAAAGACAGAAGCTTCAACACTGATTTTTCGGGGGTTTCATTTGCCGTTGAATAGTTTTCCGTTTAAAGAATAAAGTATGACATCAGCCTGATTGTTGAAACTTTAACTGGCTATGTCAGCCAGATAAGACAAGACATAGCCCTATCCGACCCGATTAATAGATCGATTTTCGATTCTTGTCGTGCCGCAATACATTTCAACAATCGGGCTGCAGGTGTCTGCGACGTCGCAAACCGAGTTATGTGATTGCGGACCCGTCGATTTGACGTTTTCCTCAAAACTGTGTTTCGATGAGTGTATATTTATGGGCTTACCAACGGGTAAGAAACCACGACAGGTAACCAAGTGATGATAACATATTACCCGAGCAAACGAGTCGAGGATAATTAAGTGTTGAGAACAGGAGGAGCTAAATACACACGTGTAAAACTGGGAGAAAAACACACATCATCTGAAGGGCTTGGAGAACAAGACGCATACGTGCAGTTTTTGCTAATTTGAGAAATACGTATTTGAAGTTTCGAAATTATATGGATCCTTATGGCGGGAAAGTTCAAATTGATTTTTTCATGCTTAAAAATTGGAATTGTGGAGCGAATTTTTCACAGAATATGCATTAAGAATAGTTTTAATTGAAATTTCTAATATCTCAATGTTTTCAAAAACTGCACTTATGCGCCTTGTCCTCCACGCTCCTCGTCTGGAAATAATGATCTAGTACCCATTTCTTTCTGTTCTCGCAGAGGGGAAAGTTAAACTTACCGAAAACAGCCGCATTTGCAAACTATTTAAGCATTTTTCTAGAAGATTCATGGCAGTTAACTCAGTGCCTGCTTAGGGAGTTAATCGTGCCTCAGACGATAGAGAAGAATCTACAGATGTCTTGGTCTTAAAGCGATCCCGCAATTCGAATTTCTGCTGGACTGACACCGCTCTCTTTCGAATTGTGGCTACTCTGCGGACCATGATGTCTTACGCTTCTTCATTATTCTTCTGGCGTTTTGTAAGTTGCGTAACAACACATAAGGGGCCGTTTTCTCACGTGGTCGGGGTTAAGTCCAATGAGGGGGCTTGGAGGACAAGGCATTTAGGCAGGTGCATTATTTGAACAAATTGGGATATTAATGATTTTATCGAAACCCAGTCTTGAAATATACTCCGTGAAAAATGTGCTATCGATATCTAATTTTTATGCATCAAAAACTGACTTTGAACTTCCTCCCGTCATAAGGCCTCACGTGATTTTAAAAAAGCACGTATTTCTTGAAATATCAAAGGCTGCACTTGGCTGCAAGTAAAAATTGGTCAAGTATTTAGGTATAATTAACGTGTGTCATCACTTGAAAGCTTTTGCAATCTTATTTTCTGCATGTCCCTGGTAAAAAGTGGCGATAAGAGCTGCGTTTCAAAATACCATAGGAATTCTTATAGCCGGCTAAAGAAGGCTACAGAAAATTATACATATGGCTGGCTGTAGAATGCGGAGCAAATCATACGGCCGGGCCATACGAAGCCAAAAAAAATTATGCAGCCGGGCTATAGTTCCTATCGCCGGGCTTTACACTTTATCGCCTGGTTGTTGCTTTTTCACCATCGATTATAAAAGGCTATAAGAAATTGTGTAGAAATTCATGTGCTTTTTGGAAATCATCAAGTTTGATACGGAACCACCTTAATATTTACAAAACACACATTATATTTTCCTTTAATACATATTTTTTTCATCAATTAAAATGAGAATAATCCATACAGGATGTGCAAACATTTCAAAATCATGAGTTGAATAACGCTGACTCCGCCAGATTAAATATTAGAGCCTAACACAAAGCGGAGCGGCGACGCACTGGCGCCTACAAACCTAACAGGGATACTTCACGCATTGCGCAACGCGTGAAGTATCCCTGTTAGGTTTGTAGGTGCCAATGCGTGTTTCGCGCTGGCTGCCCGCCTGCCACGGCGCTTGAGGCAACTATTTCACACCAGAGGTATCATACCAGTACCACATAGTATCATACGAAACTGAAGGCGCTCTAATATAATAGTAATGGCAGGCATCCATCAAAAGTACGGAGCTTTCCTCGCAAAATAAATCAAGATACTACGGCCCAAAAAGAGAGCAGAATATCGCCTTACTGTTGCTTAATCGCCATCGGCTGTAAAAGGCTATAAGAAATTGTGTAGCCGGCTATAGAAACTATTGGAAATCTTACAGCCGGCTGTAGGTCTATGGTATTTTGGAACACAGATTCTACTGTCAATTTTTACTAGGGGTGTGGTGAACGTTCTGCGAGAGTTTAAAGAATTCATTTGGATGATTTTATTCATTCGAAATTAGCGTAAATTTTGGAAACTTACAATAGAAAATATGTGTTTCCGAAAATTAGTCCTCTTGTCTGGCCTATGATCCTGTCAATATTCACATTTATTAATCACTCTCACTTGTACATCCATGCTCTTGCTCTGCTCAGGTTTTTGCGACGGCTGTATTGATATGCTTATTCAAGGACGTGGAAGTAGAATCACAAGTACGTATTTCAATGGTTACTCACTTCATCAAAAAGTCTTCTCAATATAGACATTTGTAGACATCCACGAGGACCGGGACCAAAAATTTCGAAGAGTGCTTTCTGCCAAGTCAAGCTCTGAGAAATGGAGGATGTTGCATGTGTGAGGAATTTGCGATTTGACTGTTGATTCTTATGTAAAAGTTTGCGAGAAACACGATGGTGTCACTGGTTTTCTCTGAAATCATCTCCCAAGCTCAAAAAAAGCTCTCAAGTTGAGGCCAAAATGGCCGGGGATATCCCACGCTACCTTGAGAGTCCACCTCTACATCAAGACGAACTCTCCGTGCAAAGATAGGGAGCAAATACATTAGCAGTGATGTTGTGTTTTCAGTTTTAGAGTCCCCAAACAAAGTGGCAGCCCTGTCAATGTATTTGCTCCCTATCTTTGCATGGAGAGTTCGTCTTGATGTAGAGGTGAACTCTCAGGATAGCGTGGGATACCCCCTCCATTTTGGCCTCAACTTGGAGCTTTTATTGAGCTTGAGAGATGATTTCAGAGAAAACCAGTGGCACCATCGTGTTTCTCGCGAATTTTCACATAAGAATCGTCAGTCAAATCGCAAATTCCTCACACATGCACCATCTCCATTACAATTGGAGTTTTCGATGGCCAGCAGTCTCTAATAGAAACTACGTGGGGGGACGCCACAAGTCAAATGTGATAAAAAAAGTATTTTTTATCAGCAGTCTCTAACACCCCACAAACATATGGACGTATTTTATGCTAAAAGGAACTATGTCACACGCAATCCCTTCTTTTTAGCAGAAATACGTCCATATAATAATCTGCACGGGCAGTTCGGTTCACGTTTCTTCGTTTTTTAGACAAGAGAACGTAACTAAATTTCAATGTTGTAAAATTCGACCAATTCACTAATTTTACTTAGGATACTGTAGGGCGTTTCAATTTGAAAATTTCCGTCAGTTTTCTTCGAATTAGTGAATTAAGCACTGAAGTATAAAGAAAACAAAAATCACTCGTCTGAGTTTTATTTCACTGTTTATACTAAGTAAGAAGTTAAGTAATTGTTGTTATTAATCACCAAACCCGTTAAAAAATAAAATAAAATAAAAAAAGAAAAAAAAATAAATAAATAAAAAAAGAAGAAAAAAAATACAAATAAATACAAATCCCGCTGTGTTGATAAATCTCAGCTACCGCCTGACATTAGCCTTCTTGACCAGGACGGAATGACCCTTATTTTCGTTTATTTGCTTCTCACAAGTACGAGCTGTTTGCTTATTTCCTTGTCATTTTTTGGAAAATAAAGAAAAAAGTAGCATTTATAGCATATAACATTTTATTTGTTTTTTAACTTCTGTTTCTCATTTTATTGTCTTTGTATATCGTCCAAAAATTGCTTAAAATGCAAACTAAGTGGGGCGCTATTTCCAAAATTGCCTGGAGGAGGACCTTCAGACGCCCTCTCCTTTCCTAGTAGGGCCCCAAATCCACTTTTGGGGAGTCCCAGTTCCGCCCCTTGAAAAATTTGGAGCCAGTCCGCCCTTGTTTTCAATAGTGTGAGTACGTTCAATAAGACTTGACTAAGAAAAAAACTTCCAAGGATAGGACTTAGCATGAGCTCAAAGTGATATTGCCTCGTGGTCCCTCATATGAGGACTTTAATTTGATGTTACATCTCTAAAATTCACCTAAAAAGAACCGTGAATACCTCAGCTTTTCAACATGATTTCTTATCTAAAAGGGATCTACAGGAAATAACCTAAGTAAGTTGTTTCGTCAGCGGTGGGTTATATCAGATTATTATTATTGCATTTACAGAATGCAGCTGCGGAACTTGCCTTGATGCAACAATTCGAACAATTCATGGTCGAGCACGAGAAAGTATACGATTCACTGGCGGAGAAAATGAGGAGATTCGAAATTTTCAAGGACAATTTAAAGAAAATCGAAGAACTCAACGCTGATCCCGAGCAAACAGCAATATTTGGTGTAAACGTGATGGCGGACTTAACAAGTAGGTATGTTGAGTATTTAGGTACTTAAGGTTAACTAAACGTGATTCTTAAAGAGACCGCAAACAATATTCAACAGGCTACTCAACAAATTTCAACAGGAGAAAAAACACTTGTGTAATTAAGAATGTTTGAGTTTTCACATTAAATATTTTCAAACATTGACAATTGGCACAAATGGTGCACTAAAGCAGCGGGGACGGCTTCAAACGAGACACAACACACATTCAGTGGCGTGGCGTGCGGCGTGCTTTGCGATATACATCGCGATTAATCAGCCATTTAAATCTATAGTAAAGGATCGATAACCAAATAACCAAATAATTTGCTGCTCCTGTACTTAAGAAAGAATTCTCTGTAAAAATATGCAGCATACAATAGTACTTTGAATGATTTTAAGATTCTGAATGCATATTTATCATGAAGTTTTCAGCACGTCGTAGAACATAGAATTTTTAAAATTTTAACATTTGAATATACTGAAGGCATGTAAAAAGGACGGAACAAGGAGAATTCGCAGATTTGAAGCATTATTCTTCCCAAAATATTGAAAACCCTTGAACTCCTCGCCATAAATTTACAGAATTCCGTAAACTGTCAAAATTTGACTACCAGCCTAGGCATTTGATAAAATGCCTGATTTGACTAATTGCCTTCGACATTTGGACGTATTTCTACCAAACAGACCTATGTGGAGGTGAAAAATATGGGGTGTGCTCGCTAGTCCTCTGGCCGTAAGAGTGAATGAGAATAATAAAGCGCCAGTGACGTCAGCGGCAATGATGGAGCCGAGCAAAAAGGGAGAGCTGGTCGTCGGGGCGCTTTAACTCATGAGCCCTGTCCACAACGCTCTCGTCCCATGCCCGCGGCTCATGAATCCCGCATTCAGTTGGCACATAGGTCTGTTTGATAGAATGTAAAATCTCACTTTTCCAATTCTTCAAAAGGCATCACGCCCTCTTTTACATTGTTTCTTATGCAGATTTTTTGAGCACACCCCAGATTTCTCACCTGCACATAGGTCTGTTTGATAGAAATACGTCCATTCAAATGTTGAGCAAATGGATATCGTCGATATTGTATCTGTCGCAGGCAAATAGTAAAATCAGGCATCTTGTCAAATGCCTAAGCAAATAGTCAAATATTCTAACTTAGATTGAAATCCTGTTTCTTTTCCTATTTTTCAGACAGAATAATTCATTGCTCCTGCAAGAAAAAATTCTCAGTAAAAATTTGCACACACGATATCATTTTAAACAATTTTTAGCTTCTGAAGGTACACTGATCTTGAAATTTTCAGCATGTCGTAAAATACAGAATTTTCGGAATTTCAACATTTAAAAATATGAGGGGCAATTAAAGAGGAAGAGACAAAAAGAGTTCGTAGGTTTGATGAGTTATTTTTCAAAAAAAAGTGAAGAATCGTGTGCTCTTCGCCATTAATTCACAACATTTTGTAGACCGTTAAAATTTGAAAAAATGCCCGATTTCACCATTTGCCTGCGACATATCGATATCATATCGATCTCACCTCTTTGATGGATCGAACACGATCCATTGTGTAAAGCGGAGTTTTTGGTTGTGGACAGGAGAAGAGTTCAGGGCGACGTACCTTTCTTACCGGATGCCCGAAGACGCGCGAGAGAACTTTTTGACGAGATTAGAACTTGATCATGAAGAAGAGGAGGAGGATGAGGAAGAGTGGGAGGGCAGAGAGGGAGGATTTGGATTGCTCGAACGCAACAAGAAGACTACCACGACGACCACTACCACAACGACCTACCCGCCACCCACCAAAGGCCCTCCACCTCAGGCATGTACGATCGACTGGCGCAAGATCAGTTCCAAGTACCCGTCGGTCGATAATCAGGTAACCTAAAGCCGATACTGCGGTGCTACGGAAAACGCCGCATTGGATCGAGGACATAAAATTATTGACCACACTGGAAAAAAAATAATCTTAAATTTGCCGCCAAGAAGTATTTCTTCTTAAATCAGAATTTTTCTGGTTAATATAAGCTGTTTTTTCACTTAACCCGAACATTTCTTTTCTTGTATCAAGAAAAAGTCAGCTTAAAGCAAGATAAAAAAAATTCTTGGCGGCAAATTCAAGAATCATCATGCTTGATCCAAGCTACTTTTTTTTCCAGTGCAGAAATACAAATTTTCATGTTTATATCGTCGCATTTTAAACTTTAAGGGTTGCTTCCAGAAGAAAATTTTACAAGGAAACCAATGAGACCCTTTGAGAACCTCAAAGCTTTGTATAAACGGAGGTATGAGCTTTTAAAGTTTCGAAATTTTGTCCGACCTCTCCTATTGACTCGATCCGCTGTGCGGCGTTTGAACTCTCGAGAGTTGCCAAATTTCTTCCAATGAAATGTTTATTTTTGAGGAGAATTATGAATATTTTCTCTTGCGATTTTCCGATTGTTAGATTTAAGTGCAAGAAAAAATTCTCTGGAAAATTAAACGGAAAATATTTTCGAGTTTTCCTGAAAATCAAGTCATTTTCCGTACAAAGCAACCCCTTTTTTCGCCTTGGAAACCATTTGCGACTAAAAATACCATACATAAAACAATTTGCGTGTGCAGTTCGCCATCATGAAGGTTTTCCTGCCCGATCCCAAAGCGAATATTCATGTATGCTACCGTGCTGAGGAAAAAGGATGTATGAACCTTCGTCAGTTCCTATAGTTCCATTGATTAAATACGGATTTCACTAATAACGCATATGAAAGGTCTGTAATTCACTCCTATATATCTATGCAATCTTCCTGAAATTGTACCCATTTCTTAGTCGGTTGGTATGGATGAGTTAGGGAGCGTTCATCAATTACTTAAGGCTCTAGAGAGGAGGAGGGGTATAAATGGACTGCATTTTGCAATTTGGAACTATAAATTTTGGCTCATATGAAAAAACACTCATATGCATTGGGAAACTAATGGCACATACATTGTTTACTGAGCTAGAATTTATCGTTTGTTCCAAATTGCAAAATGTAGTCCAAATCTACGTTATGCTGCTATACAAGGAGGGCAGGGAGGGTCATTGCCAGCTATACTTGACCCTCTCATTTTTTTCCTTTTTTTAAAAAAAAAAACAACTCACAAAATCCGGAATGTATCATCCTTTTCTTCACCGTTGTTTGTCATATCATCATTAGTATACTAAAAATCCGGCTATATTCTGAACAGTTTACCATTGTCGGGATTCAGAGACTAACGCAGAGTAGAAAAGTTGGATAGGTTGGCAACGGGTGATACAGATATTTCAGTGGCGTGGCGTGAATTGCGATACATCGATTGTTATGCCATTTAAACCCATGAAAAAAGATCGATTATCAGAGTGTTCGCAGCGAACACCTTAGTAATCGATTCTTTACCATGGCTTCAAATGGCGAGATATCGATATCGATTATTCACGCCACGCCACTGAGATATTTGGACCTCCAAGTGGGTGAAATTATTGAGTCGGAGTTTGCAACACCTATTTATTCCAGGCATTCTACTACACTGCAACACAACGATACTAGTGTTACAGAATGGAGATGTTGCATGTGTGAGGGATTTGCGCTTGGACCATCGATTCCTATGTAAAAGTTCGCGAGAAACACGATGATGCCACTGGTTTTCTCTGAAATCATCTCCCAATCTCAAAAAAAGCTCTCAAAGTGAGGCTAAAATGGAGGGGATATCCCACCCTACCCTGAGAGTCCACCTCTACATCAAAACAAACTCTCCATGCAAAGATAGGGAGCAAATACAGTAGCAGGGTTGCCACTTTATTTGAGGACTCCAAAACTGAAAACATGGCATCACTGCTAATGTATTTGCTCCCTATCTTTGCATGGAGAGTTTGTTTTGATGTAGAGGTGGACTCTCAGGGTAGGGTGGGATATCCCCTCCATTTTAGCATCACTTTGAGAGCTTTTTTTGAGATTGGGAGATGATTTCAGAGAAAACCAGTGGCACCATCATGTTTCTCGCAAACTTTTACCTAAGAAACAATGGTCAAATCGCAAATCCCTCGCACATGCAACATCTCCATTGATTGCATTAAAACATGTCAGTAAAAGGCAACACCGCAGTATTGAAATGTTTCAATGCAGCCCATGCTCTTGTTTTCTTCAAGGCTAAAAGTGGCAGTGGATCACAGGATTGCAGTTGGAATAAAATTCCTGACTGTACTACATTACAATATGTACAATGTAGTTGCAATAAAAAACCACTACGTCTGGCTCACTTTAGGGAGGAAGTGGATGGCAATAGTTTCCCCATGCGAATGCGTACTTTTATAATTTTTTGCAGGGAAAATGTGGGTCCTGTTGGGCATTTTCATCGGTTGGCGCGTTGGAGGTGTTGCTTTCTAAATCGGGGAAAACGGAAAAGCTGTCGAAACAAGGTAAATTGAATGATGGTTAGACATTATAACTGGTACCGAAATGATTTCTTCCACAAACCTCAATTTTAAATCTGGACTCAGACGTATTCGTGCAAACGGAGTCCAATTTGGGAATTCAAAAAAGAATGAAGAAAGGGGAAAAACATGTCTCTTGGTGAGGGATGGATTGAACTTTAGGATCAGAGCTCGGAGGATGAGTTTGAAAAAATCTGGCTCCTAAGAACTTTCATAAGTTGAATCGGCTTATGAGGAACTGTATGATGTCCCAAGAACATTGAAGGTTTGAGACTCGGCGTTTTATAAAAAGCCGTGATGATGTAAGCGATGTAACTAATGTACCTAGTTTAGAAAAGGAAGACAGGGCATACTACGGATTCTCCTCCCAGCCCCTACTGAAAATAAAGTTTTTAAAGGGGAATCAAAGGACGTTGGGTCTAGAACGTTTCCGCATAGTTTGGACAACGCTTCAGAGACTATTGGATTTACAGTGTGCTAAACGGAGAAATTGCATTATTTTCCTTACTGCAATGGGAATTTGCAAGACCTATGGGAAAAAATTTAGTAGATATCGGTGGTTTCTACAAAAATTCTTACGAAGGCTTTGAGCAAACTTAATCCAATGTAATTTTTTAGAATTGTGTAGTGTTCCCACCTATACCTTAGTACAATGCCATGCCATGTTTCCGTCTCATATCTATCTCTATTCATTAGCCTAGCGCCTGTCTCACCTTCTCATCTTTTATCTTTTCCTTTCAGCACCTTTTTACCTTTTTAACCCCGCACCAGGTGGCACCCGTGTCCACGACTTCGGGACCTTGCGAACAACCGTCAGCCTGGCACGGATTGTTCCTTGCCTTTTTCTTCGCATTCTTTCCCTACCTTTTTCTTCGCCGCCTTTCTCTTCATGATGATCATCCCCTTGGCCAGAGCAGCCAGGACACTCTGATTCCGGCCATCGCTTGGGCCACCTAAGATCCGTTCTCTGGAGGCATCAGGTCAACTGTTGCTTACCCGATGGGTACCGTTGAGAGTTTGACGATCGTTCTTGAAGACTTGCTGACTTCTCGCTAATTGCCCGATGACTGTCATGGCGGGCCATCGGCCAACGCAATCGCCCAGCACCTTTCAAAGGTGATGGGCAAGGCCGCTGAGCGTTGAAATAACCTCAATGTCTTAAGTATTCGCATTCCCGCAATCCCGCCATCATTTATCGTGTCTCGTAACTCGCCTTTTAATTTAAATAAAATTTAAATTCTTTTTAAATTTGACCTAGTAACCCTCAGGGTTGATTATCTCCGAGAACAATACCTAAAATGATGTAAACCATAACACGCTCCTGAAGTAAACAAAAATAAAACCTGAGCCGCCATGACAGTCACATGACGAAAGTTGGTCATCGGGCAATTCATGAAAAATCGGCAACGTATTTCCTCTGATGCTTCTAGAGAACGCATCTCTAGAGTCCCTTTATACTGAGAGTCAAGACAATGTGAATCCATTTCTGATTGGCTCCCGTATTTTTTGCCTTCACAGTGTCACAAACGGGAATAAAGATTACATCTTCACCGATTGCAAAGATTATAATCTGGAGCGGACCAAGGAATTACGGGTTCGGCAAGGAGCAAACGGAATGAGAGAAGGAACGGAGAAAGGAATTTGAGAATGGACCGATCAAAGATTACAAAAAACGTTCAATTTCTGTAATCTCTATTCCCGTTTTTGACTCCATGAGGGGGTGTTGTCTTGACTCTCAGTGTGAAGGGACTCTAGGGCCACCATGCGACGCCCCCGCACAACGGTTAGTGCCACTCTCACTAGTGCTTTTGTACATTTATCGATATGTACATTTGTTTGTTCGTACGAGATTCGTTGTTTCCGTTCATTTCTCTCATCCTCACACGACACGAACACAGCACACTAACAATTGCAGCGAATTTAAAAAGGCTAAGTCCTCTGATCGGTTGATTTCTGCTCTCTTCGTAGAATTGGTAGATTGTACAAAGGAGAACGCCATGTGTGAAGGTGGCGAATTTGAAGCGGCTTTCAAAGTAATGCAGGACCCGGGTTTGACCTCTGAAAAAGAATATCCGTACAAAGCTGCGAATGGCACTTGCAAGTCTAAATTCACGGTGATAGAAAAACTGAAATCTTACAAAGACGTTTCAGGTAGTGATTCAAAATTGATCGCCGCTCTTCCAACCAGTCCTCTTGTCATTGCGATGAATGCTAATGACGATTTTCAAGTAAGTACCGTCCATATAATTCTCATATATGATTATCATACAATAGTACTTGGAATTCAATCCGAAGATGTTTATGGTGTAAAAGAAATCTACACCTCTTCGGTTGACGGCCGTTAAAGTATGAATAAAGTAAATAGCAGGTGACTGAATAAAAAAATCAATAAATATGACCAGATCAGTAAAATAAATTCCTTGACTTTTTGCAAACACTTAAACCATCCTTTTCGCTTCGCGCTCTCTTAGGCCCGCTTCGAAAAAAGAACGACCAAAGAAAAATGAAGAGATTTTCATACCCGACTCTCATTTGCCCAATCCCTCCATGGCCGGGAGCGATTGGACCAAGAAGATTCGTATGAAAAAATCGTCATTTATTTCAAACTTCACGCCAAGACTGAAACGAAATAGAACGGAGCGGTTCGTCGCTTTTGAATACGATTCACTTACTCTACTAACAGAGCAAGATTCAACATTTCTCGATTACTTCAATTTTCCGCTAAATTTGAAATTCCCGCCATTTTTCAGCGGCGGGAATTTAAAATTTCGCCCCCCTTTCTAAGCTTTTTGGTCTCGTCTAATGTAAAAAAACCTGGGTCCTATTTTCAAAATCTGAATTGAGTGGGCTCATTTAAAGACAATTCTGTTCTCCGTACGCGGTCGAATGCCTTCTCCAAATCCACAAAACATAAAAATGAAGGCTTGTTGAACTCGATGGATTTCTCTGCCAATTGTCGTACCATGAATATGGCATTGTTGGTGCCTCTGTTTTTTCTAAACCCTTGTTGTTCCTCGGCCATATGCACAATCTGCTCCAAAATATCTATGAGAACGGATGTAAATAGCTTGGAGCACGTGTTTAGGAGCGTAATACCGCGATAATTTTCAGGTACAAATTTGTCACCTTTCTTGAAGATGGGAATTGTGAAACTATCCTTCCAGTCTTCCGGCATTTTCTTTTCTTCCAAAATTTTTTGGAACAGACGACGCATCCACACAGCTAGGACTTTTCCACCATATTTAACGAATTCATTTCCGATGCCATCTGGCCCAGGTTGGAATTTATAGTTCCAAATTGCAAAATGTAGTCCAATTTTCTAGGACCGAAAGCTCAAAGCACCATTTCCAACGTCTTGTATGTGCATACACAAAAATACCTTGTGCATTTCCCAAAAAAACAAACCTAATTGCGTCTTAAGACTACGCCAACGTGGCATTGTTCATTTATGATGTTCTATATGTAGTCCGAATTTCTTCGAATGCAATCAGGAACTTTCACTTTTTGTATAGGTAGTTTACTTTACTGATTTTTATTTTTATTCCTAGAGATTATACTAGCTGTTCTAGGCTCGCTACAGCGCGTTTTATTTTTCCTCTTGCTTTCCGTTTGTAGTACTACATCGGCGGTGTTCTAAACCCTAAATCATGCCCTAAAGAAGACCTAAACCATGGAGTGGTTATCATTGGACTGTGCGGAGGTAAGCATCTGATTAAAATGCTATCTTTTTAAAGTTCTCGATCGGCACTACCAATAGGCCAGTTTCTCGAATCCTGCAATCTTTTCCGAGGGATCGAAACTTAAATCTGCTCGGCAATTACTCCCCGTAATTGAGGAAAGTAAACTTACTTTTTATTTAGCGTTCACCACGTTAGTAGTGTACGCTCTTTCCGGCCGTTTTGCAGCGGGTATGTTACTAATGGATCCATTGGTAAAGGCCCGCACTGCTCTATGGGAATCGGCACCATTTTTCTTGGCGGGAAGCAATTCCTAGTTTCTCAATTTTATTTATGTACCATTTCTACCTTTTTTCTCCTATTTTGTCCACTTTACGTAATGCCTGTAGGCTTGGCTTTGGGAAATTAATATCTTTACGTTTTAAAACTCTGCAACGTACTTTTATTTAATGACTCCTTCGAGCATCGTTCAAATTTTTAGTCGTCAGAGATCTGAAAAAATTGTTGGGTACCAAGTACCCCTTTACAACATGACCCCTATATTTTACTCTATGATGACAAGACATTCCTTATATATGTATGTTTCCTAGGTTACGCTCCACGTCTAGCTCAACAGCATCTTGCAGCGCTCTCTTCTGTCCGCGCAAAACAACTTTTGTCATGTGAACGGAGTTCCCCATGATATTACAATCGTTCCGTTGCTATCGCTATGGGATTCCCTATGCCTCTGCGACCTTGAGCGTTTCGCCCAGTCTTCGATTTTTGGTTGATATTCCGATGTATCAAAAACCGTTGTATTTTTTAGCCAATCATGTCTCTACGTCAAGTTGTGTTGATTTCTAAAATTCGCGTTCAGCGAGTTTTTTTCCACCTTGAGATATGTCGTGTCTGACTGGTAAATCTGCGCAGAACCACGAAGTTCCGATTTTGGGCAAATTCTTTTTTTTGGGAGGTTCCGATTGGTTATTTTTCGCCATCAGTTTTCTGTTCGTTGGTGCAAAAGATCGCCTACCTCGTTGCTCTTGAGAAGCCGCCATTATCCCACCTCAAATTTTAAACATAGATATAAAGAAATAATAACCATCGTACAAGGCGGAAAATTGTTCTGGAGGACCCGTTACGGATATATGAGCCAAAATCAGAATTCGATTGATGGATTTAATCCATGAATACAGAAATATTGCCTCAGTTTACTGCCGCGATAGCAAATGCAAGCTGAGATGAACCTTGTGACACATGAAAGCATAGGCAAACAATGTCTCACAGAGAAATGCGCTTAATCCGCTGTCTCTTAACAGCAGTGGCCGGATGTAAAGGTCGTCTTTTGTGAAGCCCCGCTCAGCGTCCGAGATCACTTAACTGTTATCTTTTCTCCAATCGTGAATGAGCGTCGAGATAGCTCGGTTGTTTGAGACGCCAAGTCTGCGCTTCGTTCGTATCCTTTCTGTTGCGAGCGGGGGTTCGAATCTCGTAGACGACAGTTAATTTTTACTGGTTGTATTGAATGTTTTAGACCAATCATCTAACAATAGTTAAAACTTGGCAACTTAGGAAGCACATAGGTCCCTTATGATGCGTATTCGGGCATATGTGTAGAGTAAAAATATCATACGTAGGGTGTCCCAAAAGTACCGGGACTGGTTCTGTAACTTCAAAAGTAAGATAGATACAGACATGATTTTGGTTTCATTTTGAAGATCAACTCAATACCTATCGATTAAATATCCAAGATCAGCTCAATCGAATAAAAATTGACCGAGTTATGACAATTTGAAATTAGTGAGGAAAGTTTACCCCTACGGTTTTAGGAAGATTTTTCGCTTACCAGGATTCAAAAAGTTAATATTCGTATCCACTTTCCTCCGAATCTTCCATAACTTCCTTTTGCTTTTCAAAGTACCGTCCATCAAACCG